CTAAAGTACGTGTATTAACAGTTAAAGATATGGAAAAGTTCATCTCTGTGGTCGACGTACTCAATGTTGAAAGTAAAGTAACTGAATACCTTAACAATACCTTATCCGAGAAGCTACACAGGATATGCTTTTCTGAGATCGTTGGCGACCATACTGGCTGCTGATCTCACTACATTAAAATCGAGATTAAAATGGTTAGGTGGATGGAAGCTCTCAGCTGTTGCCGAAAGTGAATATTGTTATATAAATGTCATTTCCCTTTTAATAAAATGGTTGTTATGTATAAGTGGTTGCTAACGATTAATGGTTGCTAACGTATAATGGTTTCTAACCATTAATGAGCTTGATTACTACACCCGTAACTAAGGTGTAATTTATGCTGTTATCGAGAGGTCGACGAAAAACAATTTTAAGGCATTGATTCATCATTGTTTTTTTTTGCTGCACCAATTTGGAGTGGCCTTTGCATAATTTTTAAGGTGATGAAATCTTGTTCATTCTTAGCCGCAGCCTTTCCGAGCTCAGAAGGGTGTTGTTGCAATCAGATCTAAGTAGAAAAACATAAAAATATGCAAAACCAACTTAACCTTTGATAGAATTCGGGTGCTTGAATACTAGAAACCGTAAGTAACATACAACGACGACACAATAATTCAAATGACGTTAGAAAGCAAATTTATTGTTTTGAATTTGAAAACGACGAGAATAAATGTAACGTAATTCCAAGATACTAATTAAAATTCAAAAGTGCTTCGTACTTGATAATTTTGATATAGAACAACTACGTCACTGGGAAGATCTACGAGATGGGCGGGTTCATGGAATTTTTCCAAATATTGTGCAATCCAAATTCTGCGTAGATATTTCACCAAGGAAATCCATTTAGATCGTAATATTGGTAGCACTGCGAAGGTGTAGACGCATGCGGGCTGCATAATCGTGGCATTGGTCACCATCGTTCTTCTACAAGTAACAAAATCAGCTTGTGCGCAAGCGAACAGTCAAGGGAAGATACTTTGCGTGACCTCTAGTGGCAGAATAGGGAACTACGATGTAAAATCTAACTGCAACGAATCTTACAGATGGCGTATAGTCTATCGAAATGAATTAATGTTAAAGGTAAACTGTAACAAAAAAAGCGTTACGAATTGTTACCATGTATGGTACTTCAATTATTTTTCCTGTCTTGAAAGTATGATTGGAACGCCTTAAAGTCGCAAACTAGAACCAATCGACTCGGTAGCTGCTCAAAATATAGTATATTGGAGTTGCGATTGAATTGTGATCTGGTGGACTGTATAAGATAACAGCGTCAAGATCGGCGGTGGGATTCTTGGGAAACTAGGACGGAAGAGACCCCTTTTTATTGAAATTGTAATGTTAGTTTCTTCCTAATACGTGTAAATCTATTTTTTATACATCTGCCATTGCGCCTTTGTCTGATATCGATTTTCGGTGAAGTTAGTACATTTGTTAGCTATGTGTCCTGCTTGCTTACAGATGAAACACTTCATCTTGTCTGTAGCGAGAAAAGTCTTGTATTTGTTACCTTCGTACGAGATAACTCAAGATGACGGTAGTTCGAAGTCTTCGACAAGAGGAAATATATAGACTCGTCTGCGCAAGCTAAAGATGTGGTCTTCGGCAGGAATTCTGGCCTTTAGGAAGGAGACATGCTGGGAAACATGGGAGCCGAGTCCTAGACCCTGATTTTTAATGTTTCTTCAACATTGTCGCGTGTTAAGGACTGATGTTGGAGAAGATGACACGTTTTGTTGGTGATACTAGCAAGGTTTTTCCAGCTAAAATGATAGTAGGGTATTCATTACGGAGTGGTCAACAACCTCAGCTTTGTTTAGGTACATACAAATTCTGCTGTTGATATCTTGGATACAAAACAAATGTTCTTGGGGACAATACCATCAATTACCTGAACATATTCGATAACGAGTGAATAATAATTGCTCGGTATTGTTTGGGAAAAATTGTTTTGGGTATTATGGCTATTTCTGAATGCCATCAGCTTTGTAGG